CAGGCGGCCTCAATCGAGGGCAGAGTCTCCCAACCATCTCCCGGCCCCGCCCCAACCGTCCTGCCGGCCCCAACGGCCACCGCGTCCAAACCGTCCTCCCGGCCCCGCCCCAAGCGCCAGCGCGACCCAGCTGTCCTCCCTGGCCCAACCGCCTCTGCGCGCGGCTCGGAGCGACAAGAGAGTTGTAGAGGTTAACGTCTTATTTTAAACCAATAAAAAGACAGAAAGGAATAAAACAAAGAAAGCAAAATAAACCAAAAGCAATTCAGTGCACAAATGTGCTGTGTTTAATTCACGGAAAGCGTGAGACAGGTTTGTCAGCCTCGCCTGTTCAGCTATGATTAGTAAGGCACATATTTTTTATTTTTTAATTAACAAGGCAAACTCACATCTATAGCAACATCCAGTGCTTTCTCTTTCAAACAAAAATTCGGGCGGAAATGCTCCCCAGCAGGTCCCTGGGAAGCGGGTGAGGGGCAGAAATGAAGCTGGGAGCCTCATGAGGAGCACCAGGCACATCACCTCGAGGACCACCACGACAAAATGACACCACATCCTCACTGCTCCCGGGGCACCTCGCTGAGCTTATCTGCACTTACTCCTTGTTCCCACTCAGCAATCCAACAAAACGAACGCGAAACACCGTCCCCTTTGTCTGCAGAACAAGCTAACATGCATCACAGCCTATCGGATGCCTTGGGCGGTGTGCCGGAGAGGTGCTTGTGGAAAAAGGCTTGGATCTGCTGCCACGCGTCCACCTGCGCCTCGAAGTGCGCCTTGGGCTCCCCCCCCCACAACACCGGCTTGCCGACCAGCTTGTGCACAGAGGCAGGGCACATGGGGAAGAAGGGTGGTTCGATGTAGTGCCCTGTCCCAGGGTAACGGATTATCTGGGGCTTCTCCTTCCCGTGAGCTTGCAGACGTTTGCTCCCCTCGACCGCAAAGAAGTCGCTTTTCCAGTTGCGATCCTCCTGGCCAACAATGAACAGGAAGTGACACTCCGCCTTCTCCAGGGGGATAAAGCTCTGGCTGCTCGGCCCTTCTAGTGGGTTGTCCAGGAGGTCATAGATGTCTACAATCCCGTCCTTGTTGACTGTGATGCGTTCGATGTCGAAGCCGAGCGGTGGGATGGCGACATCCTTGTAGCGCAGCACACCGGCCACATTTGCCACCGAGCCATTGATGAGGGCAGTGGCCGTGATGTCCTTGAGGTAGGAGGCCATGGAGACACACAGGTCGCCTCCTTTGGAGATCCCCAGCAACCCGATTCCTGGACCTTTAACCTGGAGGGGAGAGAAGGACAAACCACAAAAATCAAACAATTTAAAGCGTTGCTGTGTTAACAGCATCCTCTGTCCTCACTGCAGGTATAGGCCCCTAATGTCCTAGGCGCAGGACCTGCATCAGGGCGATCCTGGTACAGCCCTGGGCTTGGTTTATGGTCATAAGCCCTTCTGAGACTGCAGTAGCATCCTCACAAAGCCACCAGCTCAGTGCTGAAGCATACGCAGCAAACAGCTCTATAAAGCTTTCTACAAGAAAAATATGCAGGCAGGCAGTGATAGATTCACTTGGCTTATGAGGCAGCTCAGGAAAGTGGAGAGAAGGGAGTGCTCTCAGTGCATCCAATGCTTTCTTTCAGTGGAAAATGTTCATATTCAGTAATGAACTCATTTAGGAGTTCTTAGGATATCCTAAGATATTTTTTGTATTCAAATACTGTTGTTGATTCACTTATTAGGCTTAGGCACCCTAACATGTGGTGGCAGAACACGTGGGGGTATCAGCCCCTCTCTCATTTCTTCATTATCTGTGCAGGCAGGTTGGTCTAGATGACCTCAAGAGGTCCCTTCCAACCTTAAGCATTCTATGATTCTATGATCTTTGGTGCACTCACATTGAAAAGGAAGTGTTTTGAGGTAGCTTACTCATTAAAATGTATCTTAAAAAAGTAACCCATTAAAAACATCTTTTAAGTCAACTGTAAGACCTTACAAAGTTATTTCCTTTTCTTTTCCATGGGCAAATTAACCAGAATAGGAATGCTAAATGATTTTACAGGTGGCTGAAATCCTCTAAGGCCACTAGAAGAAAGTTAGTTAATATCATAGTTGCTCCAATGTCCTCAGGATTAGAGGCTCTGAGATAGCACCAAAATGTCATACCTTTGATACCTTATCACCAGCATACCATGCTTCAAATCCACCAACTCTGAAGCATGGAAAGAGGGAAATTATGAAATATGGCTGCAACTTTACAACACGTAAAGGACATGGTGTGAGAGATTAGTAGAAGCATTAATGAGAGGCTGGAGTGCTCATCACAGGAAGGAAGGAAAAAAAAAAGAGGGTAATAAAAGCAAGTTTCAGGAGTTTTTAGACAGACGGGTAGCACCACAAGTTAGGGCAAGGGTGAATGAACGGCAGTCCAAGCCTCACAGTGCTCCTCTTTCCAAGGCTGGGAATGGTATTTAGTTTAAAGGTGAGCTCTCCTTGTATAGCCCGAGTTATCGTAGCACAGCTGTTTAGAAGCAGACGCAGAGCACAGCAGGGCTCTCTCACAAAACGAGCAGATTTAAAAGGTCCCTGAACTCACAACCGGCTACTAGAAACCACATTCCCCAAATACCAACATTTGGGCTGACTATAGCAGCCTATCCAACACACAGCAAGAAACGAGAGCTGACGGACTTCTTTGAGCCAAGCATCTGAGGCTTATCTTGTGTTGCACAGCTGAGAAAGGCATTTAGTTCCCAAGGGCCTTCTGCAAAGCAAAAACTCCAAATCCCGTTAAAAGTTGGATAAGCCCCAAGGCAACCAGTTCCCTAGTGAAGACATAGAGTGAATGGAGCAGAAATTACCAATATATAACCCTCCAGATGTTACTACGTGACCGAGCCGGTTCAAAGGAAGAACCAGAGGAACTGCTAGAAAATCATTATGATGGCAGTAAAAGATACGAAGCAAATTATTTAAGCCAGCTTGACAAAGAGATGCAATTTTAAGCACAGCAGCTCTGCCCCATCTGCAGTCTGACAGGACCTGATCAGAGTTGCCTGTAATGGGAGGATGTCAATGAACAACCTGACCTGTTTGTGCTGCAATAAAAAGTCTTTGGCTTCTTCAAAATATTCCAGGTGGAATTCTGCCATATTTTTGGGAAGATCTTCGTAGCCGTAATAGGCAAGAGCCAGCACAGCAAAGCCATGGTTGGCTAGTAGGCATGCCCTGTATTCAGGGAGCCCACCTCCTACTCCATATAGATCAATAATTCCTGGAAAGGGGCCATCTCCTGCAAGAGACCACATAACAACACATTAATTCGTTTTTTTTCATCCATAGCTCAAATTCATAGGTCAGCAATGTGTCTCTTTTTAAAGGAGAAAAATAAACAGCAGTAGCAGACCTGGAACTAAGGGTCCCAAGCTCACTGACAATTTTCAGTTAAGTGGCTGAATTGCCTCAAAATTAACCAAGACAGCACCAAATAGCAAGCCAGCTAACGATCTAGGGAAGGGATCCCATGGCAGTCACATCTAGGTATCCAATTCATCCTGAAAATTTATTGAGCTCCCTTTAAAAATACCCAGTAGATTTCTCCCCATTGCACACTCCAGAAGATTGATCCAAAAATCCCGTCTTCTGATTGTCCCAGCTTCTCAGTTTCAGTATAAATGTACTATGGCTAGTTTTCTTCCCACTTAATGGAAAAAAATTTTGCAACCAAGCTTGCTAACCTGGCAAGGGAAGCTTTAAAGTTTGAAAGTAGGTTCATTAGGTAGCAGAGACTAAAGTCCAGAAATCAAAAGGAAGAACTGATAAGAAAGTATGGAAAGGAGAAGGCCACGAGGGAGACTTTCCCATTCCTGTTCTGAAGAGGGGTGAGACTTTCCTCAGGTCTCTGCGCACTACTGCACAGAACAGCTTGTCCAGCAGGCAAGGGGAACCAGACGCCCACAGCCCTGCTCAGCAGCCGGGGTCGGGGATGCTGTGTGGGACGGCAGCTGTGTCTGCAGTTACAGGCTGTGGAGGTGCTGCTGGAGAAGTGCGGGGACAGGCAAAGACAAAGAGCGAGAGATGTGCTGCGCAGAGCAGCTCCTTGCGTGCGCAGAGCTCCATCGTGAAACCAGGCACGTGCCTGGAGAGGGTGAGATATGTGTTGGGGGGCTGTTACAGACAACCCCACCAAGAGCAGACAGGAGATGAAGCTTCCAAAAAAACTACTAGCAGAAGTCTGGATCACCGCTAAGGGGTCAACAAAGCTTTTGCCAGGCAAGCTGGGAATTCACAGACCCTGTCAGTGACAATTTCCTAGCACAAATACTGCAGGTCAAGCCTATACAAAGCCTTATATGACAGAAATAGTGGAGAACTGGGGGCAAATGTGGCAGCAGAAGGCAGCTTCTGCTGCAGCAACTACAAAATGACCAAGTTCTGGATCTGGGGAAGGCTGGAAAGGGGAGCAGCAGAGCTACACTCTAGACTAACTCTAGACTTTTGGAGAATAAACTTCACCTTTACCTTACTCAGCTTACCCTCCTGGAAAAGAGTGAAAGAGGCGAAAGGTGACACAACACCTAACTTGGGAAGCTCAAAGGGTAGTCACTGATGGTTTCATGTTCAGCTGGCGGCAGGAGCAAGTGGATTATCGCTGGGTCTGTTAGTGTGGGACATACTGATCCAACAGCTTTCTCAACAGCCTGGTTGGCAGCACAAAGGGCATCCTTGCCAAATCTGCACACAATCCTAAATTAAAGAGATCACCTGCACAAGAAATAGCAGGGCTGCAATCCAGCGGGACCTCGATGAACTCGGGACAAGGCCAACAAATGTGTCACAAAGTTCTACATGGAGAAGTATGAAGTTACTTGCTGGGGGCAGAACAGCCCCCTGCCCTGTGAAGCAAGAGCCCGCATTGCTGCCTCGCCAGAAAGAGCCGCGGCCTTTTGCTGCGCACCAGGCCGAACACCAATATCTTCCCTTTACACCAGCACCGGGAACACAAGCCAGTGCGGCAAAAACAGAGGCAGCGTGTGGAGGAGGGAGGAGGTGCCAGCTCCCGAATCCTGGCTCCCAGCTCCGGGAGGAGTCACCAAAACCCGGGAGGGCTTCGGTGGGGCTCACAGGGGTGCAGGCGGCCACTGAGTCATGTACAGCCCTGTGAGAGGTGCACGCAGAGAAGGGCCCGGTGCGGCTTCCGCTACTCACCAGGAGGCAGGAAAAGCGTCGCGCGGATCCTCCCCTCGCGCACCGGGACTCGCTGCGCACCCTCCTGCAGGAAGACCCACTCGTGCTGGGCCTCGGCCACGAGCTGCCCCAGTGGCGGCCCGTGACCCCCAAACAACTCGACCAGCAGGTGCAGCGGGGGCGGCACCGCCCGCTTCC